CCTTTCAGAGATGAACTTTGTTGCGTATGTGCTGGCACTTTTCCATATTGGTTTTCATTTCTGAATACGCCTTCAAGTCACTTTTCGTTAGAAGTCACAAAGGCAGTCTTCCTAGGTCGGACCTTGTCATGCCGTTTTCTGTAAAAGGTGTTGTTTACCTTGATGACATGTTGGAGGTGCGTTGGGTTGCACAAACCACAGTAAGTGTTGCCGGCAGTTCAACGTCTAACGTCTCGCTGTGGCTATTTTCTATTCTTTTCTAATGTATTTCTTACCTTGCAGATCTACTGACCAAATGTCACAGAATGTGTCCATATTATGTTTCCACCTTTTACTCACAAATAGCACTGCTTTCACTAACTCTACATAGCAACTATAGCTGCTTCAGAATAAAAGCCTTCCTGTGGTTTGCCAGTGAAAATTTTAATGTGAAGCAGCAGCTAAACAGTGTTTATTTACAGTAGATGTTTTATATCAATATAAGTATTGTTTATTTATATCAGACATTATTATAATTATCAATATAAAATGTTAACAATAGTTTTAAACCAGATTTTGAGCGTTTGAAAACATTTCTGTTTGTGAATGGATTAAACAAAAGGCTGCCAATCACATTGCAGGAATAGAGGTATGCATTGTGCAAGTTAGGTTTTAGATTGGTGAGGTTAGAGTTTATCATTATAATTGTTTTGAATGTTTGACTTTAAGATTTGAGAAGTGCTTTGCTGTTCAGCAAGTTTGTTTTAAACCACAATTAACCATCTGATTTCTCAACTTTCAATCAGGCGAAAAAAGCAGCCTTTAAACCTGAAAGAAATAACAATTTGACATTCCACCTGATATAATATTAATATCGACTGATGAAAATTTAATTGTGATAAAATTTTTTGGCCATATCACACAGCCTTAATACAATGTGTTAATTAGGAATGTTTCGAAGCAAAGCTAAGCAAACCTAATAATATTTAAAGAGAAACTCACAAATATTACTTTACTTGACTTGGCTATATGTGTTTCAAACTCGAGATGTGGAGTTTGAACTCGCTGGGCATTTAGGAGGCATTTTGACTATTCATTTAAAAACCTGGGTCCCACAACTTCATGAGAGTAAATAAAGCAGAGAAAGCCTATTTTCCAAAATGTTGAGCTCTTCCTTTAATGTACCGACACAAAAAATACAGTAGAGAGAGTGAAGCTTAGGTTGTTTTTAGTTATATTTCGGTTCTAAATATGAAAACATTTTTTAAAAATCACTTGTGTTTTACCACAACAGACTGATCAGGATTTCGATATGGCTCATAACACATTTTATTTTGAAATTGCCAACTGGCCATTCTCTTATCAGTCATAGATAGTCCATGTGATTAAAGCTAAAGGAAGACCTATGTTTGAATGGCAAACAGCCATCGCTTAAACAGACAGATAAATCCAGCAATATCACAGATTCCATGTATGAAAAGGTCTTGTGTCTCCCCCAACCCTGTCTTTTTCTCAGGCAGAGAAGACATATGGAAAGGTGTGTGTTGTGACTGTACTAGCAGGGGGGCAGGGCTAATAGAGGGAGAGAGCGCTGGAGAGATGGTGAGGGGAGGTAGGGGGAGGGGTTTGTTTATTTCTGTTGTGTTTCTTTTTTTCTTTTTTTTTTCTTATGGTAACTGCGCCCACAGGGGAAAAAGAAGCAGGGAGAGAGAGAGAGACAGAGAGACGGGGACAGAGATGATGGAGAATGAGGGAAGATGGTTAGCAATATGAGCGACCACCAAGAGACAGGAGACAAACGCGGCAAAGGAGAGAGGGATGCACAGACACACGGACGGATAGATGCAGAGCGCGTGTCAGTCCGCCGCTCGTAGCCCAAACAATGAACGTGCTGTGGTCGCTGCCGGCAACACATCGTCACGGCAACCGGAGCCAGAGGGGTGCGCACTGAGCAAGAATGGCAGAGAGGGGGAGGACTGATAGAAAGAGAGATGGTGTCTTCCCCCAATAGATAGATCCGTCCTCTCTTCTGTGTGTGTGTGTGTGTGTGTGTGTGTGTGTGTGTGTGTGTGTGGGTGTGTGGGGTTCTTCTCTCTGCTTGATCATGTGTGTTTGTGTGTGGTCGGTGTGTGTTAGCGGCCAGTTGTCTGACACTATGATCTTCTGTAACCATCTAGGTGAATACAAGAAGGATGAGCTGCTGGAGGCGGCGAGGTGAGTACCAGACTCTCCATGCTCTTTGTTTTCATTTCCTTTTTGCTTTTTTTTTTTTTTTTTTGCCTTATGCTTTTTCTGTCTTTGTGACATCCTTTTATGTTTTTTCCTCCTCCATGTGTACCTGTTCAGTTCTTGGTATCCCTCTCATCTCTTGTTTCCTTGCTTACTTTCTTCTCTTCTTTCTCTCCTGTTTCAGTTTCCTCACCCTCCACCCCCACCCCTCTCTTCTTGTTTCCTCTTTTCCCTTATCCCCTTGTCTCTTGTTTAATTTCGTTTTCTTTTATTTTCATATTGCCTCCCTTTCTTCTTTCCTCCCCTTGTTTCATCGTATATTCCCTGTTTCCCTGTTCCTCATTCTTCCCTCTTCGCACTTGTTTCCTACCTCCCCCTTCCACTCTTCTCTGATCCATTTATGTTTTCTGTTTCCGGTCCTTGTTTCCTATCCTCTTCGCTCCTTTCTTGTTTTCTTGGTTCCTCTCTTCCCTCTCATCTCTTCTAGTGTTTTTCATTTCCTGTCTTTTCCTCGCACATATTTTCCCTTTGCCTGTTCTTCTTGGTTCTTCTGCTTTTCTCTTGTTTCCTGTCTTTTTTCTTCATTTCTTGTTTCTGTTGTCATTTCCTCTCATATGTCCTCTCCTGCTTCCTTCTTTCCCTTACTTTCCTTTTCTGGTACCCCCCCCTTTCTTTCGTTTTCTTTCCTTTCGTTTCCCTCTCTTTGTTCCTCTCTTTATCTCTCTCTTTTGTTAATTTTCTCTCTACTTTTGTTTGAATTCCATCATTTGCTGGCGCCTTCAATTTTCCTCCCAGCTCCCTCCCTGTGGGTTTATCATTTGTTCTTTCTTTCCCTCCATCACACCCACCACACACACACATGTACACACACACATGTACACACACACACACACACACACACACACACACACACACACACACAAAAACACACGCTCTCAGCTCCTACACTAGACAGGTGTTTCACATCCAGAGAGCTCATTGCATGTGGGCCAGGGACACTTGTGCATTTTGGAGGTATTTTATGGTTGCAGGCAGTGCATGTGGGCATGTGTGTGTGTGTGTGTGTGTGTGTGTTTCCGTCTGTTGAATGTGGAAATGGCATAGCTTTCGTTTGGGATTGTGTGTGGGTGGCTGAGCGCTCTCTGCCTCAACAGCCTCCCTCCCTTCCACCGCAGCCCCCTTGCTCTTCCAAGCACACACACGCACGCACACGCATACACACGCACACACACGCACACGCACTCACATGCAAGGAAGCAGCTGGCCTAGCATCGCAGTACCCCAGTGTATTATGGGGTCAGCAGGCTGTTTAAGTGTGAGCTGTGAACCCAGTGTGCCTCTCTCACAGCTGAGCCACTGACTGGCTCATCACCAATGTCATTTTTCAGAAGCAAATCTTTTTTACTCTTTTAGTGTTGTGTTTGGTCAAATAACACCCACACATGGCTTATGAGATATTGTTGTCTCTCTGCTTGTGGCCCAGATCACATCCTTAAACATAGGTATAGAATTAAAGTAAGGCTGTTAAAGTGCTTCTAAATACTTTGAGAGTACTGCAGTGACTTTTTAAATGTACAGCCTCTCCTTAACTAGAGTTCCTACAGGTAAACGCAGACGTGAGGTTACATCTTTCCCCACAACCTATTTATTTAATGCTTTAACAGACCGATGAGACACTGATGAGAGCAGTGAGATAAACCAGAATGGTAATGTAGTGGGCTATAAAACCAAAACATTGGGCTGAAAGATGCTGAAATACTTTGTAGAGCTGAGAGGAGCTGAGGAGTGATAATTCACTGTGGGTTCTTCAGTATGAGTGGCCTCTTTCATATTACAGCAAGCAATTTATCCAATCCAGAAGTAAATGTTAAGTACTCAAAATACAGGTTGTGTATATCTTTGCTAACTTGACACCATTAATACGCAGCTGAAGTGAATTTGAAAAGCTTTGAGATAAGATGAAAGTCTAGATGTAAGAGGCAGCCGCACAGAAATGCAGTTTTCATTTTCTGTTCACATATTTAAATAGATAAATATTCAGACATGGTTGTGAGTACTGTCCTCTCTGGGCCACTGTAGATCATTTGTGTGAGGTCAGACCTGTCTTGAGCATTCACAACAAAATGATGGGAAACTTAGTGATTGAGCCATGCTAGCTGTTTCCCCCTGTTTCAAGTCATTACGCTACACTAAGCTAAGCTAAGTCTCTCTTAATGTTGTGATTCTGTCTGTTGACCTGATTCATGTCGTCAGTTGATTAGATGTCCATTTATCCGTTAAACAGACACTTAAGCCGACCTTTAAACACACATACAATACCATGTCCCTGTTAAATCCTCAAGATGTCGTTTGCATCGAAATGCAGCGCTGGGACGTGACCAGTTGAGCAAAAGAAAGGGAGAAAACTTAAAGGAAGATGGAGAGCAGGGGATGTAAAGGTGGAGAGGGTGAAGCTGTGGCTGGACAGGGTGGTAGAGGTGGACAGTTTGAAGAAAGCGAGTGAGGAAGGGGGGGGGGCAAAGACAGCAGATAATGGTGGCCGGAGAGTTGGGAGAAACACCCGGAAGCACGAGAAGAGAGACGGAGAGTTCAAATCGAGAGAAGGAGAGGATGTGAACATCCTTTTTGGACAGAGGGTGAAAGATATAGTGACAAAGAGAAGGAAGGAGAGGCCCAACACAGAAAAACAAAAGTAAAAAGGGAGAGGGAGAGGAGGGGAACATAGAAGAATAGAAGAATAATCCTTTTCTTTCCATCTGACAGCTTCTTCCTTTACGGCTGTCACGGGGATGATGGTTGGATTGGCCGCTGCCTTGGCGACACTTGTGGTCATCCAGTGCCAGGGCAGCGTGCCTAAGAACCAGGAAACGTACATCAACAACATAAATAAAATCTTAACTCCTCTGTAGCAAGGCCACACGGTCTTCTGCATCAGATTCTTTTTAGATTGTTGCATTCAAGTTTAAAAGAAAACACACACACAAACGCACACACACACAAACACACACACACACCCACACACGCACGCACACACATCCTTCGATCCATCCCCCAAACATTTCTTTATGTCAGTCTGTTTCTGCAGATGAAATTTCTCAGTCTTTTCCCTTCAGTCTCAAGCTTCTTATCTCATTCTCCCTCATTTTCTCCCCCACACTCTCCTGCTGAGGAACAGCTCTAATCCTCTGTGGTGGTGGATGTTTTCTGTCTAATGTGTGTGTTTGTGTGTGTACATTTACAGGAGTGGGAACGAGGAGAAGCTAATGGCTTTGCTCACTCCGCTCAACGTCAACTGCCACGCAAGCGACGGCCGTAAGGTAAGCACTAAGGCACACACCCCACACACACACACACACACACACACACACACACACACACACACACACACACACATACACACACAAAGAGTAATGCAGTAACAAGCTCATCACCGGCATTTTCTCTACGACTGCACCTCAGGAACGACATTAGGGTTAGAAAACCGCTCAATTGGTGCTTTAAGGTTTTATTTTTTTTAATTTCGACCAGGAAAGTGAAATAAATGTTGTTATTGGCAGCTGTGGTCCTCGGTTGTATCAAATAATCTGAGCACTTCTCCAGCAGGCATTAGCTGCCTTTCTTGGCTGTCAGTCATTAAAATGAATAGATGGAGACACAAACCCTTCGGTGAATAAATAAGCCCTCATGCAGAACAATAACAGTGCATAGCAACACGCAAAACAATGTGAGATTCACGGACAGCTTTTTTGTTGTCCCTGAGACAAGAAAATAATAATAATAATAATGTGACAGCAAATAAGGATTTTTAAGTGTTGGTTTTCTGTGTTTTCATCTGGTTAAGGAATATACAAAACGTGCAGATGCTCTTACTGAGTGGACTTGTTGGCACATAATAATTTCTTCAGATGAATCCGTTTTGAATTGTGAGAAGAGCAGTTGTCAGAAAACATAATGTAACATAATGCTCATGATGTAAACGACACAATTCTTGCAGCTGTTTCATAAACAGTTGACAATACAGAGAATTGAGGAAGGCTTTTACTTTGAAAGTACAGCATAGCGCTATCCTCCTCTTTGGCTAGCCCCTGAAATCTTGGTTGCATATTTTAATAATATTTGTACAACCTTAAATATTCTTGACTAAATGACTGTTAATGAAAGTACAAGAAAACAAAACAAAAACAAACTTGGTTATTTCTTAAGCGTGTAACAGTTCAAAACTCTTCATGAGGAGTGTGTAGGTGTGGTGCTAGGTAGCATAATGTAATTTCATCTTTTTCCAGTGAAGTGATGCCCAAAGAGCACAGATGTAAACACAAGCACAGAAAAATATTTCATGTAAAATAACCAAAACTGTGGGCAGCAATGTTCATGTGGGAACCCATCACTCAGAATAGCTGCTGTTATTAGGGCCTGTAACTGAGATTTGAAGTTGGTTAAATCTACACAAAGAAATTAGATTTTTCTTTTTGTGTTTTTTTTTTTTTGTTTTGCTTGTTTGTTTGTTTTTTGTCAGTGGATTGGATTGGATTATTTTGCCTAACAGCTCATTGAAGTGATAACCTTAAAGTTCCAGGACACATAATGAAGATAAGCTACAACCTGCATAGTGTCATGTGGAACCACACCCTCCAGGAGCAGCACAGGGCATGTGAGGCATCATAAGTGTAGTGGCTGCAGTCTGAATTGCAGGTCATGTCATGCACATAAAGACTTTTTCATGACAAAGCCGCCTTTAAAGTGATGAATACATATTTCTGAGCTTTATTACTCACTATCACAATTTGAGGCATTAGGTCAAACAGAAATTGAATTAACTTTTATTAGAATAAATGACCATCTTGGAACAGTTCTCCTAATATGATCTGTGGGTGAGCCAGGGAAAGCCTGGTTGATTAAGAGCCACTCAAGTGTGGTTTCATTTCCGGTGGTGTGATGCGGTTTAGTGAACTAGAATGAGCACAATTCACAGCTTCTCTGAGTTTCTTGTGCTGGTCACGTCTATATTATATGGAGTGTGTAACCTAATTGTAATTACCTATATGCCATATACCAACGTTGCTTGAATAATAGCAAAGGTAGAGTTTAAAAGTCAGCTAATGTTGCAGTTGCAAGTTAATTCTGGTCTCATTGGATTGCAGAGTGTAGTGTGAGACTTAACGGCTTCAGAAAAATGCTGGGCATGCTAAATGAAATGCCAGGTAATGCCAAAAGAGCCAACAGAGAAACATGCTGTATTACATCCTGTTCACTTAATAGAAATGATTTTGTGACCACAGCGTCGCATCGTGCTGTGTTGCAGCAGCACATTTGGCTTGTGACTGATTGGTCCTTTGAATGAATGACTGGAAGGAAAAACAGACCACTTTCTAGATTTGTATTTTCTATGTTTAGGCAAAGTAGTCCCCGAAGTCCTCTATACTGTTTTCCAACCTGACGGAAATAAAGATTTCCGCTGACCCTGTTTTTCTTTGAGAGCCAAGCGAAAGTGAAGCTCCACTCTGCAGTGGCAATTTTCCAAACAGGTTTGAGGTGCCTCTTGAGTTCATGTGGGTGTATGTAGGTGCTTTACTCTAAACTGTTATTCTTGTCAGAGTAGAAAATGCTTCTGAAGCGGCATTTGAGATTATCACGTGAAACTAAAACTTGTTATTAAAAACCCAAACTTGTCACATTCTTGCAGGGTGACTTGCCCCTCCTCTTGAATGGCGGAGGGCACTTGTAGAAGCAAGCTATCATAAACAGGTAGTTTAAGATGATGTGATTGGTCATAGAAATTGTTTTAGAAAACACTGATTGGTATAATGTGATGGTCACTAAAGCAGAATCCGCTGTATTTTGTTAGCTGCTATGACAACTGCTGGGACAACCAGGGCGCCTTTTACTCTGTACTCTTGGTAACCGTCATATAAATGCTATAACAGCCTTGAGGAGGCTCTTTGCTATAATTACGGGCACTTCACTGTTGTTGATGATGCTCAGCTGCAGCTTGTATCCATCATATCACCGTCATACCCATAATTGTGAAGGAACATCCTCTGGCTATTATCTGTGCAGGTGGCCTGCCGGGGATGTGATACCCCAAGGGAAAACCGTGTAATTTGAAGTTCTTTGGAGATGCAGGGCACAAACAAAAGAGATCAGTGAGAAGTGCTGACATTTATTGGTTCATAATTAGATGAATACAATGGTGTCCAGTATATAAGAATTGTGCTCAGACATTTTCTGAAACGACCTCTCCTGCACACATCTGTATTTGTAATGCTCTTTAATTGCTCAGATTGAAAGCAGTCATGCACAGTAGATGGAATATATTTTCACGCCAGTGCAGTTTTATCCTCATTATGGTCTGAGAGTAATTTAATGGGGTGATGGGGATTTACTTTCCCATTGCTAACAGAAATTATTGAGTGACTTCTGCTTAATAACTGTAGATACTGGGTAAAATTGAGGGACAACAAAAACTTTCCCACTTATCATCATTGTTATTTCTCTAAAGCAACTAAAGCAAATCAGTCGAGTGGAAAGTGTGAGATCACGAATAACAAGTCCCCAGTGCAGAAAATTGATAAATGTTAGTGCTTATTACACACACACACACATACAAAGACAGACACTAACGTGCACATCTATAAAATGCTAACAATAAGAGATGTGTACATAATAAAAGCTTCAAATAAATGAATGTAGACCAATTAAAGCCAGATACAGACCCACAAAGGGATTGTTCTATATTAATGGTCATTATACTAGAGACAATATTAATACTAATATTAATACTAATAGATAAATTGCATTAAAAGAGGATACAGTTACAGTTACAATATTAAAAATTTCAGATTGCAACAAACTGAGCCTCACCCCTCCCTTTCCAAGCGTGTAGGAGAATCTGCGGTGGCCTTCAGGTAACGTAAAGAACGGGAGAAGGCCCTCTCTTGAGCTGGTGCTTTGTTTGTCCATTCTGGGCTACTGTAGAAACATGGCGGTGCAAAATGGGGGGCTCCGTGGAAGAGAACCCACTCCCTGTGTAGATATGAATGGCTCATTCTAAGCTAAGGAAAAGATGACGATTGTGAGTATCAGGTGATTATACTTTAATGAAAACATAAGTATGAATATTAGATTCCAATTTCTGCCAATAGATCCCTTCAAATCAGACTAACTGCTCCTTTAAATTCATTCAAAAGTACACGTAATCAAATTTAGACACACACCCCCATAAATGATTAGTTGACTGTTGGCCGGCACACCGAGCGTCTATCAGACAACGCGCAGACAAATCATTACAAGGACACTAATAATCATCACGCACAAAACAAGAGTGTGGTAGAATCCTAATGATTAATAATAATGATGCTTCCCTTACAATGACACAAGAGTCGCTTTCTTCTCTTGAAGTATCTCCTCCTTTTTCTTCTCTATTTCATTTTAATTAGAAGTGGCACACATACACACACACACACACACACACACACACACACACAAACACAAACACAAACAGACACAGATCCGGAGCATAAATGTTCTTTGCAGCCAATCAACATTTATGAATTAAAACTGTCTGCTACAAGAGCCGATATCCTGCGGTCAGATTTCCTTCTTTAAGTTATTTTTTGGGCTTTTCTGTGCCTTTAATAGAGTAGCAGTGAGAGAGAGACAGGAAAGTTTGGGGTGAGAGAGAGAGGGGATGACATGCAGCAAGGGGCCGTGGGTCAGATTCGAACCCAGGCCTGAGTTCTAATGGTACGCGCTCTACCGGGTGAGCCACCGAGGCGCCCCCTGTGCTCCCATTCCAAAATCTGGAGGAAAGCCTTTCCAGAAGAGGAGGCTGTTTTAAAGCAGCATATTAATGTCATTTAATACAAGTGTAATGTTCAAGTGTTCACATACATTTGGCAATGTAGTGTATCTAGACTTTTCCTAGTCTTCTAGTCATTCTAATATGAGCTTCTTGTTCTAATAATACTTCTCTATAGTACAGGCACCAGCAGTATAACAGCATCCTGTGTGTGTGTGTGTGTGTGTGTGTGTGTGTGTGTGTGTGTGTGTGTCTGTGTGTGTGTGTGTGTGTGTGTGTGTGTGTGTGTATGTACTCAAATGATTGAGGGCCCGTCAGAGTGGGATATTATTAACACAGCTGAGTGGAGAGCATTATCAAGCTGCCTCTGTTGAAACCTACCGCTTACTCCTACGCACACACACACACACACACACACACACACACACTGCATGTGGACCGACATGCACATACACGCTTACTCCTGCAGACATTTCTTCCTCAGGAAAATGGCCTGTGCTTTTCTACTACCCACTGCAC